GCTTACTGATAAGTCACGTCGGATGAGACGGCACGAACAATTGTGCTAGGTAACCTAACTCACGAAGCACTGACTGACATTTTACTAGACAGTTTCAACTTCGATGGTTTACTTAGGCAAGGTTGCAGTATGGGTGATCATGCGACAACATATATTTCACTCACGCCATGATGTCGGCTTTTGAGTAAGCTACCTTTCGGCAGCCTGCAAAAATCGGACTCAGTAACAATGACTACCTAAGCAGTGTGACGTTTTCCCGATTACTTTCGGCGTCTTTATAAATGCCCAAAAATGGTTTGGTAATTTTGAGTCCGACCTGCAGCTGCACTTGTCATCAGGGTCCCCATACCAAAATAAGTTCTCTATTCCATGATGTGTTCACTGAAATGCGCTTTGGGTTCGAACAAATGACTTAAGCAGCATTGTGATATTGAGTATCATGTAGCCTAATCCCAAGTTACTCCAATCATGTCAGGATACCGACTTTTGAGACGAGCCTCTTTCTAGCCACCTGCAAAACGTATGCTCTTTAAAATAGCTCCTTAATTTGTAGGCATTTTCTGATTGATTTTCAATGCCATTATTAATTCAGACATATTCTATAGAAAACTTGCAAAAAATGTTTTTACTGTACTCGTTTGGTAGAAAAATATACCTTATTGAAATATTATAAAGAAAAAGTGGTTTTCTTAGGTTCTAAATGTTCTATTTATGCGATTTTTTAAGACTCAACTGCTCATTCATAATACATCCTATTCATCATGTTACTAACGTTGCCTATAGAGTATCCGACATTGTAATATTGTACAATTTTACGAGAGATATGCGACTTCCACCTCATACTGTAGAAAATATTGTGATTTTTCTTGGCCAGAAAATATATAGCATGTAGTCTTGAAACCGGTAGGGCCCAAAACTATTCGACAATTTAAAAAGTTTTTAAACCGGTAGGATACCTTTCAAGTATGAAGTTTGAAGAAATCGTAATTTGCTACCAAACGAGTACACGGACTAATATATTTGTGCATATTTTTACTATATATTTGCATTTTTAAGTTCATCGCAAATCAATAAGAAAAATGAACGCAACGCAAGCAGCCATTTTTTTTACAGCGTACGCTTTCTGTAAGCTGTCAGAAAGAGGCTTGTTCAAGAGCCGGCGTGCAGAAGTGACTGAAATAACTTCGGATTATGCTGCAGGCTTATCACTATATCTACCCTGTTCGAGTAATTTTTTCGAATACAAAACACATTTCAGAATTTTGGTTGACATTTCACGAGACGAAGTCTCTACGCTACATGCTGTATACTCTCCGTGTAAAAAAAATCAAGCATCCCTCTGTGC